ATTTTTGGGACACCCTGTATTTACTCGAAGAACGTTTAGTTATCCTCCGTCTGGAAACCGACCTCGACGTCCACGTTTCGATGTTTGGCACCGCTCGATAGAGCGTAGAAATCGCGAATTTAACCAGCACGAACGGCATTTGAAATTTCTAATGGGGATAAATGCCAATGAACGGATCTCCGAAATATGTAATGGGGATAAAGGCCAATTCCTGCGACCCTCCAAGACCCCCTACGAAACGTCCTGTAGAAACCAAAGCGGGCTGTAACCACAATGCCGCCGGAGAACCGGCATTGTAGCGGCGGTAGCACGTTCGAGTGCAATAGAAAAATTCCGGGGGCGAGCCCCGGCGTTTAGGTAAGTGCACCAACGGCCATTATCGGCGTTAATAATGCTGTTCGCCACTTGTGCCCCGACCATTACTCGACAACGACTCCGCCACCTTTATTTTCACGCCGGCCCGACCCGCGTGACTCTTTAAACCTCGTTTTTCTCCCGGTTGTCGTCGTATTTTAACGGTTTTCGCGGCCGAGTGCCGTAGCGAGACCGCGTTTTACGATTCTCATTATTCTCGCACTTTCCTTTGCATCCCGCCTTCCCGTCCTAAACTCGCGGAACCCGGCGCCGCGATCGCCCGCTGATTCGTCGGCCTCGCGAATTGCCGCGCGACAGTGCAGAGACAACATTGGATATTTCTTATCAAATATCGACAGCGACGAGCAAGCAAAATAAAATAGGAGGGTATCGCTCGCATTTAATGAAAATGGGAAACAGAGGTCCGCCATCACGGTTGAACCGACTTGGACCGGGGTTGGCGGGATAATACGTTGAACGACGATCTTGGTTGGGACGGAAGAGCAAAGGGCAAGAACTCGAGAAGCTGGGCGGACGAGTTTCCCCTCCATCGGCGCGGCCCGACGCGGCCCGACGCGGCGATACACATTCTCTCGCCTCCACCGCCCGATCCATTCTTTCCCTTTTCTTTCCCCCAACGTCCAAAACCTTGCTTGCGCGCGGCAACGCTTCCGCGGAAGATCGTCCGTTGCCCATGCTGGGTTCGTACCGGCCGTGGAAAACAATATTAGCAACTGGGGACACGGAGCACGCGAAGAGGAAGCTGCAAACAACCAAGACGAAGCAACCGAGAAAGAAGCCGCGGAGGAAAAGGAAGTTCCGCGTTGTTCCCGATTCTACATCCTGTACTGGAAACTTGCTGCCGGAGCCTTCCGATTCCGCGAGAACTTTAGTACCGCTAGCGTGGCGCCCTGCCAGCTTCCAGAATAAACCTTAACCGCATCCATGAAAGGGAGTTACGGATTATCTCTCGAGTTCTCATCGCTTCCCCGGCGGTATCGTTATGAAAACCAGTTCCAGCCTTTGGGTACCTGGTGGTGGCGAACTTTGATACCCAGCCGCGAGAATTGTTCGCGGCGCGGCGCGGAGAAACGTTCGCTTGGCGGAAAAGCCAAGGATTCGGAGAAACGTCGAAAAATGATTCGAAACGCGCGGAAAGGACGCGTCGGCTGGAAAATTGAAGATTACTCCTAGGCGGAGACGTTACGCGGTGCGATAGCCGGGGAACTTCCCGATTACTGTGTTGCAGTTGCCACCGGTGGAGGGTGAAAATAGCGAAAAGAGCCTGTAATAGAGGAGAGAATTAAACAGGGCGGCGGGGAGATGAAAAAAGGACGGGGATACGGGGGAAGGAGGAGACCTAGAGGAGGAGAGAAGCTGGGACGGCGGGATGGAAAGAGGAAAAGGAAGAGGAAGAGGATGGGACTTCGGTCGGATGACAGAAGCGTATCGTGCTAGGGAGAGCAACGACTGGCGTTGGGACACCCGGCGTCTTATCGTGCATCCCCCTTCGCTCTTTCCTCCGGCTATTCCGCCAGCGTCGCCCTCCCCCCGCGCGGTTCTCACCGCCGAGCCAAAACCCAGTGACGCCTGGGTTCGCTCACCCAGAAACCGACGATAAGGTTCACCCAGCAACGCCTGCCTACCACTCTCTCTCTCTCTCTCTCTCTCTTTCTCTCTCCTCCCTCTCTCTCCTCCCTATCTCTCTCGCTCTTTCTCTATTCGGTCTCGCATACACGCATCCGCGACTCCGTACTTACACGCATCTAGGTATTTATATAAGAAAACTGACGTGTACGCCCGCCGACGACCCGCCGACGACCCGCCGACGACCCTCGAACCGAGGAAAAAAGGGACGATAGGGTCGGTAAAAACTGGCAACGGTTCGACCGTTCGATGAACCAATCTCGATTCTTTTCTGCTAACTGGAAACTGGGCACTCGCTGCTAACCGGAAAAATTCGAGATTCGATTTTGCCCGGTTCTATCAACCCTCGGCCATGTTCCATTGCAAATTCTTCATTCGTTGCTATCGCGGAAGCGTGGGGGGAACGTCGACGACATAAACGATGGTCGCGTTTTAACCCTTTCTAGGCAACGGATCGCTGATCGACAAAGAGAATCGGCATACTTCGACGGCGAAGGCCGTATGCATTTAAGGACAACTTCGATTCTGTTTTTTAACACGTTCGGCGCCGCATCGTTCGTTGCATTGGGTTGGCAACTAAGTAATTGCCGATTTGTTCAATGAAATAAAAAATTTTTCTTTACTTGGAACGAAGTTTCATCTGTAATGTATTTTCCATTTTGATCGATGACCTTCCGCCATCTCTCTGACAACTTGAAAATTCCACGCTCGTAGAAAGTCTGATCCTTTTCGGCCAAAAACTGAGTTAAGTGAGATTTTACAGCGTCATCATCGTTAACAGTTTTACCACGAAGGGAGTTGTCAGGGATCGGAATAAGTGGTAATCCGATGGCGCGAGATCAAGGGCTGTATGGTGGGTGTAACAACAATTCCCAACCAATATCCATCAATTTTTGCCGAGTGGACAAAGACGTGTGCGGCCTAGCATTGTCCTGCTGGAAAATGACACCTTTACGATCGACCAATTCTGGTCGCTTTTCCTTGACCGCTGCATTCAATTTGTCCAGTTGCTAACATTCACGGATAATAAAAAATAACATAATAATAATAATAATAATAATAATAATTTTATAATATAACATTTACGGATATCATAAAAATGGGAGTGAGAGACATCTATAACTGAAATCGGCAATTACTTAGTCGCCAACCCAATATATTATCAAAACCTCCTCGTTGAGACTGAGGCTAATCCTTTTATTGGTTTCAATATTAACACTATGCCGTCCGGTGGCACCACGCTGGTGCCATGCAAAAACTATCTGTTGTATGCCGGTGGTACCACTTTGGTGCCATTTTAGAAAATTGAAATAACATTTGAACTATATTTCTTGGGTGTTAAAAAAGTCAGCAAGCTAACTATAGCATTG